CTCCCTCTTGGGCATCTGGCATTGGCTACTATGGCTGTGTCCAGACTCAGGGGTTTTTTCGGGAAAAGTAGCCTTTTTCCGAAAAAACTTCCCCTGCGTCCAGACTCAAGCTGCGTTCTTTCGAAATTAAATCGAAAGAACGCGGCTTTTCTTTCGATGGCGGTAAACCTCATTTCACGAGGAAGAACGCCTTCTTTCGAAAGTTCCTCTTTCGAAAGAAGGCGTTCTTCAATGTAAAGAGACCGTCTTCGAAAGAGAGCATCCAGAAAAGAGAGCATCCAGACTCACTGTATGTTTTCTTTCAAAAAAGCAAGCCGCTTTTTCGAAAGTTCAACGTGCAGTCTAGACGCTCTCTTTCGAAAGAGGCTCTTTCAAAAGTATCTTTCGAAAGAGCCTCTTTCGAAAGAGGCTTGCAGTCTAGACATAGCCTATCAGAAAAGACCTTCGGTCTGTCCTAATATGGCCGTTCTTAAGTTCTTTTATTTTCCCTTCAAAATCAGAGCCTTTCTTGGAAGCAGCCAACAGAATTCAAGTTGGAAATTTTAATAATAATAACCATTGTCTTTTAATTATGGTTTTCAATTCAGTAACATCTGAAGACATTAAGACATCTAAGACATTTACCCTTGTAAAGTAAGTAAGTGAACATCATTAGACTCATGTTGCAGATGGATACAAGATATAAAGGCTATGTCTACACTAACAGCTTCTTGCTCAAGAACAGCTGTTCTTGCGCAAAAACTTGCCGGGTGTCTACACTGCATGTGTGTTCTTGCACACATAAATTTACATTCAGCATTGGAAAACAGGGCTTCTTCCAGAAGAATTATTCCTCTCCCCACGAGGAATAAGCCCTCTTGCACAAGAGCTCTTGCACAAGAGGGCAGTGTAGACAGGCAACATGAATTTCTTGCACAAGAAACCCCTATGGCTAGAATGGCCATCAGAGCTTTCTTGCGCAAGAGAGCATCCACACTGCCATAGATGCTCTTGTGCAAAAGCACATCTCTTGCGCAAAAGCACATGGCAGTGTAGACGTGCTCTTGTGGAAGACTTTTTGCGCAAGAACTCTTCCGCAAAGCAGCTCTTGCACAAGAAGCTGCCAGTGTAGACGTAGCCAAAGTGATTTACCTAAGGGCAGTCTCAAAGTCATTGATAGAGACCAAAATAGAATCCAACACCCCTGGGTTCCAGTCCTTTGCTCCAAACCCAGAGGTTTCTTTTCCATGTAAACTGCTTTTAATTTAGCCTCAAGAATGTAATTTCAGTGAACCTGAGTGAGTTTTTTTTATAACACAAAGGAGTGACAAAGTTAGTTCCTTGTTTCATTCTGCCACCCCCTAGCCCTAACCCTAACCCTCGCCCGCCATCCTTGTAAATAGCATAGCAAGTCAAACTCTGTGTCCTCTGCTCATGCAGATAGTTCTGGTGACATCATCAGAATAACTGTTTTGAATAGGTAAGCTAGAGTTGAACCAACATGACATAACAGAGAGACTCGCAGCAGAATGCCAAACAGGAGACTCCTTTGCTAGTTTAACAACAGCCAGACTTGCCCCAATTCCCCATTTGGCCACAATAGCTGAGTCTCAGGATACATCACTGCTTTTCTGCCAGATTGATCCATTTTGTGTTCGTGGAAGGCAAGTTATCAGCGTGCCATAGCTCATCTCTCACCAGCTGTTTCCAAAGTGATTTCCATACATTCAGTTTGACTCTTGCTCTTGTGTAATGCAGAGTGGGTGTCCAGCTATTGCTAGAACAGATGAGAACTTTTAAAGCGGTTGGAAAAATTAATCCACTCTTGGGCTATGTCAACACTTGCAGCTTCTTGCGCAATACAGCCGTTCTTGCGCAAGAATCTGCAGAGCGTCCACACTACCTGCCCGCTCTTGCGCAAGGAAATTGACAGTATGGCGTGGTAAGAGAGGGCTTCTTGCGCAAGCACTATGCTCTTTTTTATCAGGTGTAAGCCCCCTTGCGCATGAGCTCTTGTGCAAGAGGGCAGTGTGGATGCTCGGCAGGGATTTCTTGTGCAAGAAAGCCCTATGGCTAAAATGGCCATCAGAGCTTTCTTGTGCAAGAGAGCGTCCACACTGCCATGGGTGCTCTTGCACAAAAGCACTGCTCGCACATGGCAGTGTGGATGTGTTCTTGCACAAGAATCCTTGCACAAGATGTTCTTGTGCAAGAAGCCGTCAGTATAGACATAGCCTTGCTGAGTACACTGTGAACTTTTTCTACATGGGCTTTTGAGGCTGCCATCAAGGGCCCCATTCACAGGGAAGGTGTGAACTCATAGGGCTAAACTGTGGCTTAAACCACATAGCCTGAATTGGAAAGTACTGCAGACACCACGTGTCTAGTGGGAATTTCCAGATATGTCATGCCTGAGGGAGAAACAAATGGTTAGTGCCTAGATTATGAGGAGGAACAGAGTGAGGACTGGGTGTGACTTTTCCCATTGTGCTGCTGAGCCAGTACTGCTGGGTAGTCTAAAGGGCAGGACATAGTTCTACCATTGCCTTTATGGGCTTGGTTCTGCCACCCATGGAAATCACAACTATTCAGTGAGTAATGAATGTTCTATATGATGTGAGTTATGGTGACAGGATTAGGCGCCAAGGGTATGTCTAGACTACATGCCTCTGTCGCCAGAGGCATGTAGAATAGGCTACCCGGCATAGGGAAATGAAGCAGCAATTTAAATAATTGCCGCTTCATTTAAATTTAAATGGCTGCCGCACTGTGCCAATCAGTTGTTTGTCGGCTCAGCGCGCTAGTCTGGACACTCCGCGGTCGACATCAAAGGCATTTGCCAACCTCCCCAGTATGCCTTGTGGGATGAGGTTTATCGGGGAGGTCGACAAATGCCTTTGATGTTGACCACAGAGCATCCAGACTAGCGCGCTGAGCCGACAAACAGCTGATTGGCACAGCGCGGCAGCCATTTAAATTTAAATGAAGCTGCGATTATTTAAATTGCTGCTTCATTTCCCTATGCCGGGTAGCCTAATCTACATGCCTCTGTCACCAGAGGCATGTAGTGTAGATGTACCCCTAGGGAGCACAAGGGCATGAATGGTGTCTATCTCTTGCACCTAGATACAAGGAGGGAGGCTTCTTGAGAAGAACTATTTGGAAATGCTACTACAGTATTGCACATTTTTCTGCTGGAAAACATTGATTCATTGAAAGTGAAAAGTTTTTGGGGAACATGGTGATTTAGATGAAGTTTAAGTTTTAAGAACCCAACACAGCATTCCACTAATACTTTCAGAGTCTGGTTTGATGTTTCTGGAATAGAATGCTTTGACATACAGGCAGTCCCCGACTTACGCGGATCCAACTTATGTCGGATCCGCAGTTACGAACGGGGCTTTTCTCGCCCCGGAGGACACGGACTGCGGAACCTTGTGGTCCCGCCGCCCGTGTACTCCGGGGCGAGAGAAGCTGCTCCGCGTTTCCCTGCTCTGCAGACCAGGAAGACGTGGAGCAAAGCCTTTTTGGGGCTCGAGCAGTCGGGCAGCCCAGGCGCGCCTGGGCCCCGCAGCCCCAGCCCCTCCGTGGCTTTGCAAA